ATTATACTTATTGAAGTCTCACAGAGACTGTTTCCTAGAGAGAATTTATTTGTCTGCTGTGAGCCTAATTTGCACTGAAGAGATGCATACACTTATCTGAGTCTAGAGTGGTTATTAAATCCCTTTTAAAAACAGCTATCCAAAGCTTGTCTGATTTTTGTGCCCTATTGTAATGTTTTTCCTTTTTGTATTTTTTCCTTCAACATTTATTAGGAAATTTTTTGGATGTAAAATAATGAAAGAATTCTACAATAAACACTCATATACCTACCACCTTGGTCATATCATTAACATTTTGCTATATTATTTTGTCACATATCTATCCCTCTGTCCCTTTCTTTATCCACCCATTATTTTTTACTATTCAAAGTAAATTGCAGTATACCTTATTGGCATGTTTTGAGAAGGATGGGATGGTCTGTCTTCTCCGGGACTGCCACTTCTTGAATTCCAAGGGTAAGAAAGCCACATCTGTTACTAAATGGTATGGATCAGCTCATCTTTTTCCCTTAGCTCAGCTATAGTTGCTGTGGTAATTTCTTACTGGATTATTTCAGTGGTTTCTGCCTTAGAAAATCTCTTGAAAACTAGTTGATATCCCAAGCAAAGAAACATATATTTAGGAATATGAACTCCACAGTGAATATTCATTACTTACATGTCCTACAATACAGACCAAAATGCTTTCTTATTCATATGCCCTGACTTTACTCTTGGTATATAAGAAGTATGGCTTTCTTTTAATATACTGATCTGACAAAAGCCTCAGTTTCAGAGGTACAGAAATCATTTCTAGGCTGTTCTTGGTATCTACAGTTGTTTTACCATATGGTACTGGGCTAATTTTGTCTGTTCTTCCTTTGAGGTTTCTGTGAATTGATTACATTTTTAGAAAAATTTTAAAATAACTTTTAAATGTCAAAGCTTTCTTTCTCAGTAGAATAAAATATGATGAGCGATTATGTTAACATGAGAACAAGTTAATCGAATTTTTCCAAAAAATTTAAGCAATTAAATTGAGTCTATAATTATTCAATATTATAAATTCACATTAGTCATATTAATGAAAGTCCCTTTTAAAAAATATGTTTTTATTGGTTTTAAACAGAGAGGAAGGGAGAAGGAGAGAGAAACATTGATGTCAGAAACATTGATCGGCTGCTTCCTATACACCCTCTACTGGGGATCGAGCCCGCAGGGAATCAAACTGATGACCTCTTGGTGCATGGGTCAATCCTCAGGCCAGGCCATGAAAGTCCGTTTTGATGCACTGTATAAAGTAATCTTAGACCTGAACAGATAAGTTAGTTTAGAAAGCAACTGAGTGTCTCTGGGTAGCTCTTCTCTCTCTGAAAAGGTCATCTCTTATGAAGCATGCAGTTCCTAAAGGGAAGCACAGGAGAAGTGAAGGATAAAGAAGAGAGTTTAACATGTCAGCTAAGCCTATCAATTCTGGTCATCAGTTGGAGAACTCATGTCACTTTAAGATTTAATAGTTACATACTATAGAGCAGTTGCAACATAATATAATAGGGAAAAGCCTGAATTTCAGAGTCAGAATTGGGTTTTAATTCTGGTTCTGAAACCAGTTCTGTGTTCCCTAAGTTCTGTGTGAGCTTAGTCTCTCTAGGCATAATCAGACTCATCTCAAGCCAACTGATGTTCTGTTTTCTCTTCCTCGCCGGGAGTCCTGTGACTGTTCAGCCAGAGCTCACATGTTTGTCTAAGTGTCTGCCCAGCAAGGGCACTCAGATACCCAGGAAACCCCATGAGGGTTTAGCAGCCCCTGCTATCAAGTGACATCATGGAAAATGGTGAAGTAAGGCACTGCAATAATCAGTCCCTCCACTGAAGCAACCATGAAGCTGGCACGTCTGACAGAATCAACTTTTTCAGAACTCTGGAATTGCTAAGTGATAAAGGCAAATTATGAAACAGTTTTTATCATATCCCATTTTTTGTTTGTAAAATAAGTGTACATGGTACAGATAAAACTCAGAATATATAGTATATGAATAGTATTTCTCTCTGGCTAGAGGGAACACTATTATTTTGTTGGTGGTGGTGGTTGGCTTTTTTTATTGATTCCAGAGAGGAAGGGAGATGGAGAGAGAGATAGAAACATCAATGATGAGAGAGAATTATTTATCGGCTGCCTCCTGCACACCCCCTACCAGGGATTGAGCCCGCAACCCGGGCACCGGAATCAAACCCGGAACCCTTCAGTCCACAGGCTGACACTCTATCCACTGAGCCAAACTAGCTAGGGGGACGGTCGCCAACCTTTCAGACCTCACCGACTACCAGTGGTCCACGGACCACCGGTTGGTGACCGCTGAGCTAGGGCATTATTTGTTTAATATTCCTAAATTTTCTATAGTGAATATGTATTCTGTAAAAAATAGCAAAAAATAAAATACAACAGTTTGGCAGTTTCTCAAAAAGTTAAATATAGCCCTAACCTAAGGTTTGGCTCAGTGGATAGAGCGTCAGCCTGCGGACTGAAGGGTCCCAGGTTCGATCCTGATCAAGGGCATGTACCTTGGTTGTGGGCAAATCCCCAGTAGGGAGTGTGCAGGAGGCAGCTGAATCCATGTTTCTCTCTCATGGATGTTTCTAACGCTCTATCCCTCTCCTTCTTCTCTATAAAAAATCAAAATATATTTTATATGTAAAAAAAAGTTAAATATAGAGTTTTCATATGACCCAGCAATACCGTTTCTAGATATATGCCCAACAGAATTAAAAACATATGTACACAAAAACTTGTACACGAGTGTTCATAGCAGCATGATTCATAATAGTTAAAAAGTGGAAACAACCCAGATGTTCTTCAGCTGATAAATGGATTAAAAAAAATGTGATAGAGGCATACAATAGAATATTATTTGGCAATAAAAATGAATGAAGTACCAATATATGCTATAACAAAAATGAACCTCAAAGATATTATGGTAGGTGAAGGAAGCCAGACGCAAAATGCCACATATTATATGATAACTTTTGTGTGTAATATCCAGAATAAGCAAGTCTGTAAAGAGAGAAAGTCTCTGATTGCCAGGGCCTGGAATATACTAAAAACCACTAAATTGTATACTTTAAAAGGGTGAATTTTATGGTATGTGAATTATAGCTCATAAAATAATGCTTACGAAAAGTAAAATAGAATCTATTAGCTATAAGACACTAGAATTTAAAAGAATATTTTTAGGAAGTTATAGTCTAATTTTCACTGAGCTCTGATTATAGTTATGGATTTTAAAAGGGTAAGTTTTGGCAAAGAGATGTGAATTAGGAAATTATAAGTGACCATGTAGCTGTATCTCCACAGCCCTTTATTTTTTAAGTGAAATTTGAGGACATTTTAAACTGATATAGGAAACTATTTGCTTCTATTATTAGAGTTTGGCTTTATATTTTTAATTATTTGCACTACTTTTGGAATTGTTATCCTTTTATAAAATGCTGTTATCTTTCTAATGGATTTCAGACAGTTTTAAATGAGAGTGTACATATATGCATGCTTACGTATTTTTCTTAAGTAAGCTGCCATCTCTAGATCTCATTTTATGATGTATAAGTGGTTTAGGTATGTTCTAGAATTATAAAAGCAGTATACATAGATCTCATTACCGCCTTTATGATTTCCTTTTCTCCTGTTCTCATTCCCACCTCCTGGCCCTTATTTTAAAAAAATACAAAATGGGTTTAGAGCAGCCGTGGGTAAACTACGGCCCGCTTGAAATGAATAAAACTAAAAAAAAAAAAAAAAAGACCGTACCCTTTTATGTAATGATGTTTACTTTGAATTTATATTAGTTCACACAAACATTCCATCCATGCTTTTGTTCCGGCCCTCCGGTCCAGTTTAAGAACCCATTGTGGCCCTCGAGTCAAAAAGTTTGCCCACCCCTGGTTTAGAGTGTCATACCTTATTTTTAATTGATTCTTTCAGTATGTATTTATTGAACACCTACTATGTTTTAAAGCACTGTGCTAAGTTAAAGATACAAACAGATAAAATGATACATCTTAGAGCTACTCTCAGAATAGTTATGGGGGAAGGCATTTAACTCAGATAAGAGAGGTCAGGCAGGGCTTCTTTTTACCATCAGTACAATTAGAAGGTTGATCTCTAAAACCAAGTCACATCTATTATACTTTTTTAGAGAACTATTGAAAGTAGAACTCCTACTTGGCCCTTAGCACATCCCACAACTACATAAACACAGAAAAGCAATAAAGATTCATCCCCAAGACAGGTGTATATAAGTCAAAAATCTTTTTTTTAATTGGCATGAATACAATTAGTACAAGTGCAAAGACATTAGGTGAAAGTTTGGTTTCTACTTCCTTGTCTGCTTAAGACCTTTTAAACCATCAGCTTTTAGAGGCTTTGCTTCCTTTAATATATGTATATATATAAAATCATGAACTTAAAGGAATTTCTGTTTTCATTGGTATTTTTTTAAAGAAACTTTGCCTTGCTTTTCCACAGGACTGGTATATACTGGTATGGCCATATTGGTTGTTAAATATTGAAATATGCCCTTGCCGATTAGTAAAGACCCGCCATAGTCTGGTCTCTCGCCCAGGAACTCCCAACTCTGCATCTCCCCACAATCCGACAATTACAGGGTTATCCCCAGGTATACAAGGAGGCCTTCAGGACCCTACTTCTTTACTACTTGTGCATCTATCCTGATTGCTACGCCCAGGCCATCCCCATTGTTTAATAGTTTTTAATATTACCCTGACTTTCTGACTGTCCCATAAATCATTACTGTTTAGACAGTGTTTGTGTTCTGCCAACTAGAGTATCAAATGGCTCTAGCTCACCTGTCATTGCTTATCTGCATAGAACCAAAATCAGAGTTTTATTATTTTCTGAATAAGCCAGAATACCATCACACTGTAACTCTAAGTTGATGTTTTTTGTCTTTATTTCCCTCAGTGCTGATGGTTTGGCCTAAGTTCTGTTTTCTTATTGTTTCTTCTAGTTCGCTTTGCACCTTATAGACCTCCAGATATCTCCCTGAAGCCTCTGCTCTTTGAAGTGCCCAGCATCACTACAGAGTCAGTGTTTGTTGGCCGGGACTGGGTTTTCCATGAAATAGATGCTCAACTTCAAAGTTCAAATGCCAACGTGAACCAAGGAGTAGTGATTGTGGGAAACATTGGGTTCGGCAAAACCGCCATCATCTCCAGACTTGTGGCCCTCAGCTGCCATGGAACACGGATGAGACAGATTGCCTCAGACAGCCCACATGCCTCCCCCAAGCGTAAGTATTCCTTTTTAAAGAACTCTCTGCTTCATTGCTTTGAAATTTTTTTCTAACATATTTATATTGTCTCATATCCTTTTATTTTCTGACTAGAGGCCCAATGCATGAAATTTCATACAAGAGTAGGCCTTCCTTCCCCTGGCTGCCGGCACCAGCTTCCCTCTGGCACCCGGGACCTGGGCTCACCTCACAGCCCTGGCTTTGTCCAGAAGGATGTCCAGTCTAATTAGCATATTATGCTTTTATTATTATAGATCTGAAAATCCTGATTTGTATGTGAGGACCATTAATTCAGAGTTGAGGGAAAGAATATAATACTCTGCTTACATTTAACCCACATATCCAACAGTCACCTCAGTGTGACTGGGGAGGGAAAAAAACTTTCAGAAAATGTATGACTCTTCCCTACTGGCTAGTCTGTCCTTTGGAGAATGACTACAGCAATTGCCTGTAAGAGCTGTTTGCATCCATCACTGTCAGGTTTGCTCAGCCTGTGCCCAGGTCTCCTTGTTACATGCCAGCACAATCTGTTCATGGCCTTCATTTCCTTGCTATTGATGTCAGTATTGCACTGCCTGGGCTTGAACGTCATTGTGCCCTTGAAGGGTTTCTCCTGCTTCCTTGTGAGAAGATGCTAAGATCTCATATATATCCATACTTCTTTCACCCCAGGCATAGCACAGCTTGGGATGATCACCACCGAGATCTTGTTGACTTATTTTTAGAATACTCATATGGTCACTAATGCCAGGTACTGCTCGACAGCTTAGTAAGTTTTAATTCATCCAATCCTATCAACTCAGTGAGATTGGTCCTGTTGTCTTCATTTCATATATAAGTGATTTGAGGCTCAGAGAGGCTAAACAAACCTCCCAGGTTTCATAGCCAATAAATGGTGAAACTAGAATTTAACACTAAGCAGTCTGGTTTCAGAGGCCATTCTCTTACCCATTTTGCTCTCCTTTTAGGTGAATTCACTCACTTCAGTAAAGGAGATAAAAGGAAATATTCTTCCTATACGCACTGTATGTATAGTCTGCCTGGTTTCTGTTAATTATAAGAGAGAAAAAATGGAAAGAAACTATTGGTCTGCTAATGTAGCTCCGTCTAGTTAACCACAAATTTTCAAAACAGCAATCACTAGAAATGGTTTGTCTGAGATTATAGTCGTTACAGAGTCTAGCACAGTGCTGAAACGCAACAGGAATTCACTGAACGCCCTCCAAACATTTTGGCTTCCTGTTGAAATTAATTAGCACTCTCATGTCATTAAGTAGGCAGATTGCCATAGGTAAATTTATGGATATCTAACATGTAGAAGAACAACTAGTACCTAGAAAGAAAACTGTTTGAATCAAGAGTCCGTTTACCAGGGTATGATAAGAATTTATATGAAAGAATATTTTCTTAAGAGTAATGTCATGCTTAGTTTCTACATGAAACTTTCTGAGGTCGATTGGCATAGGTCATGTGGGAATCAAGAGCGCAGAGTTTGAGTCCCAACACTCAAATTGACTATATTTTATAACCTTGAGAATTTTACTTTAATTCATTAAACCTCAGTTTTCTCATTTGTAAATGAGAAAGTGGGACTAGGTGATCTTTAAGATTTGTTCCTTTGCTAAAATTCTCTGATTCTAAGAATATATTCATGGTTAAAAGTAATTTTTCACACCTATTCCAGTATTTTCCTTTGTGTGCTTAAGTATCACACCAAACTACCTCTTATCTGAGTAAGCCAAGAGGTTAACTATTTGAGTGTGTCAGGCAGAAAAGCAGATAGCTAATCGTCTCTCTGACTCCTCTATCACTGTTTCAGATAACAGAATGGTAGAATCATGCATGACAGGATAAATGCCAAAGGCAAGAAGAGCTGCTTTCTCAGAAAGCAAAGGTATCTGGGAGTCCACAGCCCCCATGTCTGAGAGAGCAAGAGTTAATAAAAAAACAGCCCCTGTGCACCCGAAAGTAGAGATTCTTTCAGAGTGGTTCATTAAATTATTCTCAACATCCATTGCCTTTATCTCCAGAGAAACTCTAAAAATAACCACCCTCTCATTCATAAGATAAATGTCCATATGTTGAAACTATAGATTTGGCCTGATAGTTAACTTTCAAACCTTGAAAAGCTGTCAAGGAGGATAAAATATGTGGTTATGTGTTTATCAGAGTTATCCAGAGCCAGCAGTTGCCTTGAAAAAATAATTTTTGTTGTAGTATTTGATGTCCAAGCTACTTTCTACCTCAACCATCTTAACCAAACCACTAGTCCTTAAGAAGAGTCAAGAATAGGTGACTGATAAAGTGCACGCTGTTTTTCAGCATTAATCTGTTACTGTATAAGCTGGCACTGAAATGTTGCTGGCAGTAGCAGAATAAGAATGATGTCTATATAGAGAGTTGGCTTAATTTTTTACAGTTTAATTTACATTAATCTTAGATAAGTTTATTTGAAATCCCACCGGCTCACCTAACCCTCAGTAAGTGATACCAGTGATGTAGTTGTAGTAATGAGAACAAGTGGAAAATTATTGGAGCCCCCACGTCCAACCTCCCATCTCTGCATCATCTGTCATTTTCTTCTGGCCCTGCCTCCTCCGCACTGAGCAGCACTGCTGTAGAAGACTGAGCAGTCTAGTCTGCAGTACTGCAGTACTGGCTCTGCCTTCCCCCACAGACACTCAGCCCCCAGCCCGCCCCCTCCTTGTCATTTCCCTGGGAAGGTACAGAAAAGCTGTCAAGGCAGGCACTAGCCTGTCATCCTGCTTTCCGCCTACACCCCTTGCCAAACCTGACTCCCCCATCAACCACCCCCCCCCCCACCACCATCATCCCACCCCTCCAACACACACACAAAGTGCAAAAACATTTTGTGAAAATAGACCTGTTGTGTAAGTCAGCATTATTGTATTAACTACAAGTATCCTCGATACAGTAGTTAGGGAAGCTCTAATACAAGTCTATATTTTCCTATCACTAAAAGTCACAGTGTTAGTTATTTGGATTTGACATTTGCCAACAGCTGCCAAGTCCCCCAAACAGCTGTTCAGTAAGTAACCACTACCCTCTCTACTCTGCTCATTTCAGAAGTCTGTTTTGCCAGTCTGCTGTGCACACTGGCTTCATGTTAACTTTAATTTCTACTACTCTCTGAATACAAACCGAAAGGAAAGACACACAGACAAAAAATAAGGCATATTTAAAAGGAAATAACTAGAAAACAGAAGGTATTCATACAGTAACTACCCACAAAATCAAATACCAGAAAAATTGGAGTGTGGTGAGGAGAGGGAATGAACAGCAGAAATGATACAGTGACAGTCACTGAGCTTGACCTCAGCTGACACTTTTCTTCAAGCATTTTTTCACTGTCATCTCCCACAGCTACCCTCCTACAATTGCTCAGAACTCTGTCTAGTGACCAGGGAATTTACTCTACCAGTTGAAGGGAAAATAGCTCAGTTAGTTGCACTGGTAAGGAGTTGAATGAGGACTGTCTTCCCTTACTCCTCCTCCTTTACCTTTTGACCATCAATTAATATCTACTCATTCTGCGCATTTCATATAAATAGAATTATACAACATATGGTCTTTTGTAACTGGCTTCTCTGAGTAAGTGTGATATTTTCAAGGGTTATCTATATTGTAGCATAGATCGTATCTCATTTGTTTTTATTGTCAACTACTTTGAGATATATATATACTAGAGGCCCAGTGCACAAAAAATTGTGCACTCGGGAGGGGGGGGGTGTCCCTCAGCCCGGCCTGTGCCCTCTCGCAGTCTGGGACCCCTCGGGAGATAATGCCCTGCTGGCTTAGGCCTGCTCCCGGGTGGCAGAGGACAGGCCCAATCCCTAGGTGCAGCCCCTGGTCGGGCTCAGAGCAGGGCCGATTGGGGAGTTGGGGCACCGCCCCCTGTCATGCACAGAACAGGGCGATCAGGAGGTTGTGATGCCACCCTCAGTCATGCTCAGGGTAGGGCCGATTGGGGGGTTGGGGCACCGCCCCCTGTCACAGAGCAGGGCCCATCAGGGGGGTTGGGGCTCCGTACCCTGTCAGGCACAGAGCAGGGCCCAGCAGGGGGTTGGGGAGCTCCCCCCTGTCACGCACAGAGCAGGGCTGATCAGGGGGTTGAGGAGCTCCCCCCTGTCACTCACAGAGTAGGGCTGATGGGGAGTTGGGGCATCGCCCCCTATCACACACAGAGCAGGGCGGATCAGGGGGTTGGGGCGCCGCACCCTGTCACACTCAGGGCAGGGCCGATGGGGAGGTTCTGGCTCTACCCCGTCACACACAGAGCAGGGTCCGTGGGGGGCGGTTGGGGCGTCGCCCTCTATCACCCACAGAGCAGGGCCAATCAGGGGGTTGGGGCGCCACCACTGTCACACTCAGGGCAGGGCCAATGGGGAGGTGATGGCTCTACCCCATCACACACAGAGCAGGGCCCTTGGGGGGGGGGGCGAGAATTGGGGGGCCGCACCCTGTACACACAGAGCAGGGCGGATCAGGGGGTTGGGGCACCACCCCCTGTCACACACAGAGCCACAGGGCGATCAGGGGGTTGGGGAGCTCCCCCCTATCAGACACAGAGCAGGGCTGATCAGGGGGTTGGGGCGCCTTCCCCTGTCACGAACAGAGCAGGGCGGATAGGGAGGTTGTGGCCCCGCCCCCTGTCACACACAGAGCCGCAGGGCGATCAGGGGGTTTGGGCGCTGCCCCCTGTCACACTGATCCCGGTGCCAGGAGGCCTCGCGGCTCCGCTGATCCTGGTGCTGGGAGGCATATTACCCTTTTACTATATAGGATAGAGGCCTGGTGCACGGGTGGGGGCCGGCTGGTTTGCCCTGAAGGCTGTCCTGGATCAGGGTGGGGGTCCCTACTGGGGTGCCTGGCCAGTCTGGGTGAGGGGCTGAGGGCTGTTTTCAGGCTGGTGGGTGACTGAAGCTCCCAACCGCTCCTTTTTTTTTTTTTTTTTTTTAATTCTGGGCCAGCTTTAGCTCTGAGGCTTGGCTCCAGCTCTTAGGCCTCAGCTGCTGAAAGCAGGTATCTGGTTTGTTTGGGTTCTATAATCGAAACACTGTTTCAACTCCAGCTCTGAGATCCCGGCTGGCTGAAAGCAGGTTTCTGGGGTTTTGTTTAGCTTCTATATTTGTAACAATGTTTCAAACTGCAAGCTCAGAGGCTGGCAAGGCAGGCAGGGAATGTTGGAGTCCTCTGTCACTGAAGCAAGCAAGCCTCATGTTCACTCCACCTGCCTGGCTGCCGGCCGCCATCTTGGCTGGCAGTTAATTTGCATATCGCCCTGATTAGCCAATGGGAAGGGTAGCGGATGTACGGCTAATTACCATGTTTCTCTTTTATTAGATAGGATATTAGAACATTTTCATCCCCTCCCCCCCAGCCCAAAAGAAATCCTATGCCCTTTAGTAGTTAATCTCCAGTCTCCCCTTAACTCCCTACCTTCACTCCCCTGGTAGCCACTAATTTACTTTTTGTCCCTATAGACTCTGTTTTCTGGGCATTTCATATAAATAGAATTATACAACATATAGCCTTTTGTAACTGGCTTCTTCTGTGTAATATTTTCAAGGGCTATCCATATTGTAGCATAGATCGGTATCATTTGTTTTTATTGTCAAGAAATAGTCCATTGTATGGATATACCACATTTTAACCATTCATCAGTTGGTGGACATTTAGGTGGTTTCCATTTTTTAGCTGTTATGAGTATATGTGTACAAGTTTTTGCATGGACCTCTGTTTTTATTTCTCTTTGATATATACCTAGGAATAGAATTGCTGGATCATACAACAAATGAAATTTAACCAGTCTTTATTTAGTTCAGAGTTTTATGATTGTCTGATGCAAACATCTCATCTTTTTAATCCAGATGTGGATGCCAACAGAGAGCTGCCACTCACACAACCACCTTCAGCCCACTCATCCATTACCAGTGGAAGCTGCCCAGGAACTCCAGAAATGCGCAGGCGGCAGGAGGAGGCTATGCGGAGACTAGCCTCACAGGTACAATAGGATTCCCAGTTTGTGGGCATGCTAGTTCCCTTTTAACATCGGGGGGCTAAGGTAGGGAAACCCTAGGGAAAGTGAACAGAAATATGTACAGGTATACCATGAGAACATGGAGAAAAGTGTATTTTTCTTTGCTGTTCCTAGAAAAAATATTTTATTATTACAGAACCAGAACTTTAGAGTTGGAAAGGAATGGGTAGGTAAGGAAATTGAGACTCAAAGAAGTTATATGATCAACTTCAGAATTGAACTGATACAAATGCCAGTTATTGTGTAAATTAAATTTTTATATCCTAATTCCAGATATTCAAAGGTGCCTTTTCTTTGAGATTAGCTTAATTCCATCACAGATTATTTATTTGAAGTAGGAAATGATCTTTGGAGAGTGAAGGCCTTTGACTTTTAAACAAGCCTGAAAAATTTGCTGCCACTCAGTCATTTGATTAGGGCCTTTAATAAGGATTCTGCTTAGTTTTATCATTTCTTATGTACAGTATTAAGTCAAAAGCTTTTTATACCCAAGGCTATACTGACCTCCAATCTTTTCTTTTGTCTATATGACCTACAAACCTCCCCTTTTCTTTCTTCCCTCACAGAAGTAATTTAAAATTCACTTACTGTCTTTAAAAAATTAATACAATTTTGGTCAGATCCTATATATTTTGGATAGAATTGTTTTAATAACTAATAAAATACTGTATACCAACTCTACAAGTTTAGGGATTAACATAAAAACTTGAGATGGAAAAATTGATAATATACAAAAGACATAACTGAAAATGAAATTTCAACAAGTAATTGTAAGAAACAAGAATTCAGCAAAGAGAGAGGTTTTACCTGCCTGACTTATTGAGTGTGGACTCATTCTGAACCATTTCCAGGAAGTTGGAATAATAGTGACTGAGTATGGGTGTCCCTGATGACTTCCTCAAAGCTGTAGGGAGTGATCTAACATCCATCACTGAACACTGGTACAATGACAGACTGAAGAAAAAAACTACATTCCCAGATTTGTTTCCTATTTCTATATGTAAGGAAAGTTGTAGATAATGTCAATAGGTAATTTGTAGGAAGTACCAAATGTTTTTGACAGAATTGTATGTACATATACATACTATGTAACTATTTTGTACAGTCTAATAAACCTATTTTGGACCACAGTGAAGATTTTATGAAGATGTTGAATGATTTTCTTCCTGAATTCTACAAAGGAATCAAGATTTTGTATTTGAAATGCCAAAGAAATATTTAAAATTAAAAGAGAAGTAGCTGTAGAAGGGACACCATTAGCAATGTTATTTAACCTTTGTTAGATAAAACCTCATTCAGCCTAAGAGTACAGATGGTTTTTAATGAAAGCAGCAAAAGAACCCTCTCCCTAAATTTCAGAATTTTTATCTTCAAACTTATCTCATTACTTTAGGTAAAGGGTAAATTAACAGCTGATTTGCTCAGCTGTGTTTTGCTTTTTGAGCTGTGGAATCAATTGAAGTAAAATATGGTGAAAGTTCATATTGATTCAGAGGTTTGATGTTTGCTTTTTATAAAGTGGAGATTTGTATCCATGTGGACATAATCACTGTCATTCACTTCATTGAGGGGACAAATTAATTGCTTTCTAGTTTTCCTTTTGGTTTCCTTACTTAAGCAATGAGCAATCTACCTGAAGAAAAGAGTGGAGATTTTTTTAGTACAATTTCTCATTTCCAATTCCATATCATTGCTTCACTCACAAGGAATTCCTGTCTTCAGCTTTATATGTCTAGTAACAGTTTCTGTATTGTTCAAACTTTAAATGCTTAATGAGAGGGATTTCAGGTATTAAAGTGACATTTCCAGCATTTGTTAAGGAATTGGGATGACCATACCTACAGATTAGGAATCCGTTCAAAGCAGAACACTTTAATTGGTAATTCTGTTCCTGAGAGATGATTGAATAGCTGGAATCACCATAGTACATCTATGAGTGCTCTTGGGGCAAATTTCAAATGCCTGTGGGCACAAAGCCAGTGGCTGAAAAAGAGACTATATAGAACCTTGATGATGACCATAATGATGATGGAGAGGAAGAGAAGGAGGAAGGCAATGATGATGGAGACAACTATGCATACTGTGTGCTGAACACCATGCCAGGTGCCTTCCATATATTCAGACTGTATCCCCCTGCCAATTTCATGTTATCTACCCAATCTTATCCCTTTGTGGGTACTACTGAACCATCGGAATGGTCTAGATTAAAACCACCCTCTGCACTTGACCTTGAGACAAAGAGCTCTGCAAATTCAAACAAATTCAGAGCTTAAAACTCCAGGTTCCAGCCAGCCAGCCCACACCCTGGGTGATATTAAGACTTATACATTTTCTTTTTTTAATCTTTATTCTTGAAAATATTACATATGTCCCCTTTTTTCCCCCATTGACCCTTTCTACCCCACCCCTCACCCTCCCCAGGCCTTCACTACCCTATTGTCTTTGTCCATGGGTTATGCATATACTAGAGGCCTGGTGCATGGATTCGTGCACTGGTGGGGGGCATGGCCTGTGGGGATCAGTCTGCTGTGGGAGCACACTGGCCACCAGGGGGAAGCTCCTGCGTTTAGCGTCTGCCCCCTGGTGGTCAGTGCACGTCATAGCGACTGGTAGACCAGTCATTCTGGACATTTTGCCGATCAGTCACTGGGCTTTTATATATAGAGATGTATTCAAGTTCTTTGGATGATCTCTTTCTTCCCCCCTCTTCCCCACACCCCCTGCCTTCCCTCTGAGATTTGACAGTCTGTTCCATACTTTTTTTGTCTCTGAATCTATTTTGTTCCTTAGATTTCACATATGAGTGAGATCATGCAATACTTGTCTGTCTCTGACTGGCTTATTTCACTTAGCATAATACTCTCCAGGTCCCTCCATGAAGACTCATACATTTTCTAAGTTCTTTGAATTTAAGACCTGCATCTAACAAAAAAAATCTCACCCCTTTCCTTCTTCCTGTTACCTAATTTTTTTTCTTTTTCCTTTTTATATGTATATATATATATAGAGAGAGAGAGAGAGAGAGAGAGAGAGAGAGAGGCGGGGGGGGGGGAAGGAGAGGGATATAGAGTTGGAAACATACATGAGAAAAAAACCATGAATTGGCTGCCTCCTGCACACCCCTTACTGGGGGTTGAGCCCACAACCCGGGCATGTGCCTCAACGTGGAATCAAACCATGACCTCCTGGTTCATGGGCCGACATTCAACCACTGAGCACCAGCCAGACCTGTTATCTAATTTTGATTTTCTTGTCTTGAGGTGCTCAGAAAGTATGTAATGATAATTCTTAAAACTGAATTACTTTATTTTTATAAGGCTGTTTATAGCATAACTATAATTTAAAATGTGATGACATAAACAGATGTGTTTGGTGAGACTGACATATGGTTTTTCTCTGAATATCTTATTCCTAATACTTTGTTATAAAATCAGACTCCTATACTGCTCTATGCTGAATAAATATTAGAGAAATTAATGTAAATATTTATTCTCAGGCTTGCTTCCTATTTCTTATAATCCAGAGGGAAAACTCATTTGTATTTATAAAAATTAATTGATATATAATTATGATATATGTATACAGCAGCAGTTCTCAACCTGTGGGTCGAGACCCCTTTGGCGGTCAAACGACCCTTTCACAGGGGTTGCCTAAGACCATCCTGAATATGAGATATTTACATTACAATAACAGTAGCAACATTACAGTTATGAAGTAGCAACGAAAATAATTTTATGGTTGGGTCACAACATGAGGAACTGTATTTAAAGGGCCAGAGGTTGAGAACCACTGGTATACAGTAAAAGTATGTTATCAAATTTCTGATCTTAGATAAATCAAGCAGTTTCTGAGTTAGTAGCTTTGGGGTTTTTTGTTGGTTTTTTGCTTTTTCTTTTTTAATATATTTTTATTGATTTCAGAGAGAAAGGTAGAGGAAGAGAGGGATAAAAACATCAATGATGAGAGAGAATCATTGATCGGCTGCCTCCTGCACGCCCCACACTGGGGATCGACCTGGTTCATAGCTCGATGCTCAACCACTGAGCCACACTAGCCAGGCTGAGTCAGCAGCTTTTATTTTTATGAAAAAGTTGAGGGATAGGGAAACAAAAAGCCATGTTAGGGAAGATAATCGTGGCTGTTGCTCTTGCTACTGGTAAACCTGTCTGCATTCTCATCTTTCTTTTGTAGGTAGTTGCCTATCATTATTGCCAAGCAGATAATGCCTACACCTGCCTGGTGCCAGAATTTGTCCACAATGTTGCTGCCCTGCTCTGCCGCTCCCCTCAGCTGGCGGCCTATCGGGAGCAGCTTCTTCGGGAGCCTCACCTACAGAGCATGCTGAGCCTTCGGTCCTGTGTTCAGGACCCCATGGCCTCTTTCCGGAGGGGTGTCCTGGAGCCCCTGGAGAATCTCCACAAAGGTACAGATGAGATGCAAAGAAGATGAAAGGTGGAGGCTTTGGAGCCCGAGTTTACCTGCAGCATGTTACAGAAATGATTTTTTTATCACATTGCCAAAATTAAATGTTCCGTAGCTGATGTCCCACGGAATACAGTTAACAGATAAAAGATTTTACTTGAAAAATAAAAATTCCTATAGGAAGTGCCACTTCCTCCTTTCATTATAAATATTCTCATTATCATTTCCAAATATAATGCATCTTTCTTGTAGTAAAGATAGTAGAACTTCCAGTCCTTTCTGTGAAGTTCAAATAAATCAGTAAAATCATGGCTCCAACTCAGTGTTGTGGAGTTTCCACTATTAGAAACCTCCAATCTTTATGCTTGATGCTTTTTATTACTCTGCAGTTCAGGTAAAAGGAAATGGCATCCATGGTTGCACAACTCTATATATATACGAAAAATAACTTAATTGACCACTAAAAGGCATAAAGATATTTTTTTAAGTCGGGGAAGGGGTGAAGTGGAATCCTCCCTCTCATGCCTCTGCCTTCCTCCTCTTTTCCTGGGCATTTCTAATGTTGACTATGGCGTAAGTGCAACGTCTCCTCCTTTACCCATCTCTGCCCTATCCCCACCCCATCCCCTTAACAATGTTTTGTCAATTCTGGAAGCCAGAGAAAAAGATTTGAGACAGCATGAGATTCCTCAGCAATCCTGTTTATTCCTGGGAGAATTATTTACCTTTCTTGAGAGTTTTGGAGATACTCATAAGAAAGAACAAGTGATTATAATTTCCATTCTCCGGGCTACCATCTTCAGCTATTTCAGCCTTCGTGCTATTTACTCAACTATCAAAATTTCTCTTCTCCACTCTGATGATCTCTGAATATCTCTATACCTATTAGCTTTACCAGACCCTAGGCTTGTTTAAATCTTGAAACTTCTCCACAAATATATTTAATTATTTTTTGTACATTGAAGCTTCTCAGCCATCAATATGAAGTGAAAGATCATACTAATATGTTATCACAACTAAAAGGAAGGTAATTCACATGTAATATGCAGATTGTCTGAACAAAAATGTTGTCTAATATGAGCCGCCTTTTCACTTTTGATAAGTTCTGTACAATATACCAACAATGAAATATCATGCACTGGGATTCACTTCTGACTTTGGTACTTGCTACCATCTCATCTCATACTGTTTCTATAATTCTTATTTCTCTCAGGTACCTAAGTAGAGTCTTACAGTGGGACTAGTAAGGAAGAAAGTTCAAGTATTTGTTAAGTATACATGTGAGGGCAGTGAGGAATCCCTGGCGAATATATATATTTACAAGGGATTAAAAACAAGGATTAAAATGTTTAGGAAACCTTTCCAAAGACTTGTCGGCTAAAAAAACAAACAAAAACAAAGCCTTGTCAGCTAGAACACTGGTTCCTAAGAACTAGTCCATTTGAGGTTTTCATTAGTCCATGGCAAAATAAGAAAATAGAAACAGCCTACTTGAAACCTGTATGGTTTTGTGGACTAATGTCACCCCCATAGATTCCATTTTTTTTAAAAAAAGAAAAGAGTCCGGCTGGGGGTGGCTCAGTGGTTGAGCATCAACCTGTGAAGCAGGAGGTCACGGTTCGGTTCCCGGTCAGGGCACATGCCTGGGTTGTGGGCTCAATCCCCAGTAGGGAGCATGCAGGAGGCAGCTGATCAGTGATTCTCTCTTATCATTGATATTTATTTTTTTAATATATTTTTATTAATTTCAGAGAGGAAGGGAGAGAGAGAGAGAAACATCAGTGATGAGAGAGTATCACTGATTGGCTGCCTCCTGCACGTCCCCCACTGGAGATTGAGCCAGGCATGTCCCCTTGACCAGAACCAAACCTGGGACCCTTCAGTCCACAGGCTGACGCTGTATCCACTGAGCCAAACCAGCTAGGGCTTATCATTGATATTTTTATCTCTCTCTCTCTCTCCCTCTCCCTTCCTCTTTAAAATCAATAAAAATGTATTTTTAAAAAAGAAAAGAAAGAAACACCTATAAATATAGATGTAGTTTTGCATATGCATATATATAAAGTTTAGATAGATTATGTCTCTTTTACTTCTTTAATGTTAAAATATTATTTTATTCTATGAAATAATGGTGATAGTGGATAGTAGTTGTACTTTAAATGTTCTTACATTTAAATATATAAGTAGTAATTTTTAAATTTTTCATTTGTCTGTAAAATCTTTTAAAAGCTACTAAGTTAGAGTTTGTTTTTTATAACCTACAAAGGTTTGAAAATGAACATGTAGGAACATTCTTATAAAGCTAGTTGCATTTGAAAGACAGTCTAAAGATCCTCAAAGTTTACCTTTTAAGTTGATAATTGAAAAACTTCATCATTTAGCAAAGAAAAAAGGAAATTTAGAAATAGTTCTCAGTGTTTTGCAATATTAGTATCGTTGGGAAATTCTTTGCCTTTGTTTATCGGAATCCTAAATAATATATTTTTAGATAAACATGCCATCCTTATTTCTTAACAGGGGAAATATTTTGACACCTAATAGCACCTGTATTCTTAGGTGACTTCTAAGTAACTCCTTCAAAAGAAGAGAATCTCAAAAAAAAAGTCAAGATTTAGAATAATATAATTATCTTAAGTAAGGCACTTCTTTTTTTTAAGAAATGATACATTGTTTACTCATGGGATGAATAAAATTTAATTTTATTAGGCATTGAATTGTTTTGTTCATTAAAACATCTACATCATAGTTTAACGCAAGTTCTTGATCTTTAATGCTCGAGAATGTGTTTGAAATGTTTTTCCCAAAGAAAATCTCTGCAAGTGCATTATCATCAGACCTTTTTCTCCACTTGAAAATCATGGCTTTCTTGTGAAGGAACCTGGTGAAGTTAAAGGAAGTGTAATTGAAGCAGTGGAGACAGTGGTGTTGCTGGTAAATTTTTAACAACCAGCTGCAGGAGGAGGGCTTGTAACAATTGCCAGTTTCCATTGTGTAAATAAATATTCCCACCTTGCCTATTTTAGGGTGCCAGTTCTTGAAAATATTACAGTGTATTCTCCTGAACCAGTCAGGATGGCTCCAGTGCACCACTGGGTGGGATCAGGTGATGGTGCTCAGTAACAAGGGATAGGTCTATTATATCTGCCCAGCAGAATGCAACTAGAAAATTCCTCTATGGAAATTAAAGACACAATTACACTTAAGAGAGCCAATGTCCTCAAAGTCAAGAACATAAAAGCCTCCAGTTTTGCAGGTAAATCCCAATTAGTGCCAAGCAACTCCACTCTTCCTTAATGCTTTGGACTCCCCAAAGGAATAATGTGCTTCTTAGTACTACATCATATAGAATGCTGTCTCATTAATATTCATTGTTAATGGTAAGAACTAGGATCCTAGTTCATTTCTCGTCCTAAAATGTCAACAGATGAAAGTAATAGTAAAAACTTTTCATAATTTGAAAACTGACTTTTAGTACTTAAGATACTGAAATTAAATTCCTTTATATAAAGCTTGTACTTTAGGGGAAAAATATAAAGTCTTATTAATCATGCAGAAAAATGTACATCTTTTCAAATGTGAAACTAAAATATGTAGACTTTCATTTGGTCTTGACTCTTTTAAAGGCTAACATTTGTACTAAAATGTTGATTCAACCTGGGAATTTTTTAATTGTTCAGTGTAGTAAATCAATAAGCATTTAATGAGAGTAGAAGCCTGAAATTTTACCAAGCCTTCTTATACAGCCTAGCCCTAAGGATAAACTGATTTTGTCAATTTAAGATAGAATAGAGTTCAGAAGGGAACTGAACACAAGCATGGCATACTTCATGTGACTTATCCCCTGGGAAGATCACGGAAGGGTCTAATCCCACTGAAGCTATTTTAGGGATAGTCTAGGAGGCTGCTAGTTCTATAGGAGTTTGTGATCCAACCTGCCTAGTTAAAATCTGTCTATTGGTTGGGATTCCTTTTCTCTGTTCCCCCATCCCTTCCTTCTCACTACACATTCACATGTAGTCCTTTATACTGCTTTGGATTAAACCTCCTTTTTTTTAATTCCCAAAGGAACATGAATTACCATGTGCAGATTGTCATAAATGTAATGCTCAGCCTGTCTCATATCTGATAACATGGGAGAAATGATGATGATACATATATTTAATATATATGTGACAAAAGCTTTTATACCTGATGAAAACAAAATGAATTCACTACATGAATTATTCTGTCTTTATAATAAATTATGTACTCTGAGCACTCAGTAAACAAACGAAAGACCTTGTTTTAGTATTTTTTGCCCCAACCAGATATCTAATCAAAGACCCTTAAAGAACTCACTTATCCACTTGGTAATTATTAAGTAATTTGTTTCTTTCTACCCCAGAGAGAAAAATTCCAGATGAAGATTTCATCATCTTAATTGATGGATTAAATGAAGCAGAATTTCACAAACCGGATTATGGGGATACAATTGTATCATTTCTGAGTAAAATGATTGGAAAATTTCCTTCCTGGCTCAAACTAATTGTAACAGTTAGGACCAGTTTACAGGTATGTGTTTGCTTTGGAACATAAATTATTTCCCTTAGAGAGTGCTTAAACTGAAAAAGTTCTAGGTCCTTTTCCTTTAGTGATGAGGTTTACTAAACCTCTACCATTTCCTAGAGCCCTAGCAAGGATAATTCCCTACGAGCCTATTCTGAGAGTAAGACATACAGTTTAGAGAGCACATTCTCTGTGTATGACTCTCTTGGCTCCGATTCTCATTCCTGTTGCTCTGGGTAAGTTTTGATAAAGTGTCCTTCAAAATAGCATGAAAAGAAAGTGTCCATTTTTCTAGACATTGTCCTGAGGACAAACAGCAATACAAATAGAGTTCCTAACACTTTAATTTACTGCTTGACTTTCGTTTTATATTTTTTATCATTTAATGCCATGCTAAAGTTGGTACAATCTAGAGTCGGATTTTCTAGTTCCTCCCTCTGCTTCTACTTGAACAGATTTTCTATAGCATGATGGTGGACTTCTATGTGCCTTCCTCTAAGAACTTTTGGCAATATTAAGGTTTGAGGTTAAATTTACTACAACTACGAGATAAGTTTTATTTTTAATTACCTTCCCTGCTCATTCACTGATCACTTAATGGCCTGGACGAAGGACTAGGAATGTGGAACTGAGCCTGTAAAAACATATGGTCAAAGGATAAGTGACCCCACCTTCTCTGCCATTCTCATTGTAGCTGAGTTGGTATCTCTCATTCTTTACTTATTTACACTTGTTTGCAACAGGATTTCTCAACATTTTTCCCCTAACAAGCTGTCTTTTTTATAAACATTAAAATATTTTTTAATATATTTTATTGATTTTTTATAGAAAGGAAGGGAGAGGGATATAGAGTTAGAAACATCGACAAGAGAGAAACATCGATCAGCTGCCTCCTGCACACCCCCTACTGGGGATGTGCCTGCAACCAAGGTACATGCCCTTGACCCGGAATCGAACCTGGGACCCTTCAGTCTGCAGGCCGATGCTCTATCCACTGAGCCAACCCGGTTAGGGCAAACATTAAAATATTTTGATGAACACTAAAATCTTATATATTATACACCTATCGCAGATCCTCCAATAATATTTTGTTCAGTGTTGTTTCGCTATAACACTGATGAGATGCCATATGAACTTAACTCTTTTTTGTATCAATTAGCATATGATAAAATTGGTTTCATTATATGTTGTTTCACTTAAAGCTATAGAACCTATTGATGAAGTTAAGTGAGGATTTACTGTATTTTGATGCAACCCCCTCATAACAATTGCTAATGTACAGAAAGTGGTCTTGCTTCCCTCCTTTCTCCCCTCCCAGGCACTTAGTATCATCCCTGTATATTAACCAATTAGCTTTACTGCCCTCTTTCAAAAAGTATACTTCTAATCCTGGCTACCACCTTGTAGATGTTTGTTATTAATCTCTAAGTAATTTGAATTAAAGGCTGTGAATGAATCAACTTAAATGCTCTTTACAAATAAAAATTATATAATCTACCATGATCGGTCAGTAGCTTCATTGTTAAAGATGAAGGATGAATAAAAGAAACTTCTAGGAACACTCATCTCTGATTAATTTTATTAAATCTATGCTTAGGAAATGTTATCCTCATTTATATTTTTATTTTTATTTTTTTTAATATATTTTATTGATTTTTTTTACAGAGAGGAAGGGAGAGAGATAGAGAGTTAGAAACATCAATGAGAGAGAAACATCGATCAGCTGCCTCCTGCACATCTCCCACTGGGGATATGCCCACAACCAAGGTACATGCCCTTGACCGGAATCGAACCCGGGACCTTTCAGTCCGCAGGCCGACGCTCTATCCACTGAGCCAAACCGGTTTCGGCCTCATTTATATTTTTATATAATGCAATGTGTAATCTCAAAAGACTTTTTAAGTATAACTTTCATCTTTCAGCTATGCCAAAGAACAGGAAAAGTATTATGCATATTAACCTACAAAGTCCAAATTTCAGTGTCGTTATAGACTTCCCAGATACTTCATTCACTTCAACCAAGAATTTTAAAAAATTATTTTCATTCAGCTCTGAGAGTGAAATAATTTATAGGTGTTAAACAATGAACCCTTGTATTGATCATTCATTATTTCTACATTTCTTAAGTTCTTCAGGAGTGTCAGGCATTTGCTAAGAGCTAAGGATACAACAATGAACAAGACAGACAATTTCCCTGTCCTCATAAAGCATATGTTCTATTGAAGACAAACAATAAACAAGTAAAAAATTATATATACATATATTAAAATTATAGGTAGTATTAGTGCTACAAAGACAAAATAGAATAAAGGGATAAATGGGGGTGATCATTATTTTAGATAGGACAGATAGGAAAGGCCTCTTCAAGGAGCCTTGTAGAGTGATGAGATCTGATTTACCTTTTTAAACGATTTCTTTGGCTGCTGGCTGTGTAGATAATAGAATGTAGGGGATCAAGAATGGAAGCAGAAATACGGGTGAAAGATGATGGTGGCTTAGATTAAAGTGATGATGATGGAGACCCTGTAAAGTCATATTTGTACAACATTTTGAAGAATTAAAATGATTTTATGGGTTAAATGTGGATGTGAGCAAGAGAGAAGATTCAGGCATGAATCATGGGGTTTTGTTGAGCAACTGGGTAAATGCTGGAAAGGAGAAAGATCATAGATACCTCCTACAGTTTGGTTGTAGGGTTTGTGATAATACCATTTATTGACATGGGAAGGTTTTGTGGAGGGGGCAAAATTCAGCAGTTCTGATTTAGTCACATTAGATTTGTGTATGAAACATCTAATTGTAAATGTTTAGTAGACAGAAATAAAAGAGGAGAGCTCAAGGGAGATGACTAAGCTGGAAATACAAAGTTAGGCGTTATCTGCATAGAGATGATAATTTAGAACTATGGAACCAAATTAACTGTCTTAGGGAGTGAGTGGCTGGATAAAAGAATGGAGACCTGAGCCCAGGAGGACTGAGAAATGAAGAAGGAACCAGCAAAAAGTCCTGGGTAGGCGTTGCCAGTGTGCTAAGAGGAAAGTTAAGGGAACATGCTATAGGGTAGCAAGCTGCAGAAGTGACTCGAGGAGAAAGGTGTGATCCCCTGTGTCAAATACTGCTGCGAGAGATTGAGGAAGATGAAAACTGCAGCTTGATTACTGGATTTGGCAAGGTGACGATTACTGATAGCCTTAACATTTCAGTCAGGTGACGGTGTGGAAACCTTATTGCAACAAACGGAGGAGAGAATGGAAAAGGAAGAATTAGATACAGTACATAGAGAAAACTTTTATGTGAAATTTTACTAAAAAATGCGAACTGAGCCCTAACCAGTTTGGCTCAGTGGATAGAGCGTGGGCCTGCGGACTGAAGGGTCCCAGGTTCGATTCTGGTCAAGGGCATGTACCTTGGTTGTGGGCACATCCCCAGTGGGGGTTGTGCAGGAGGCAGCTGATCGATGTTTCTCTCGCATTAATGCTTCTAACTCTCTATTCCTCTCCCTTCCTCTCTGTAAAAAATCAATAAAAATATATTTTTTTAAAAAAATGGGAACTGAGATATAGCTGAGGGGAGGAATTATGGGGTCTCTGTGATCCAATAGTAGAGAAGAAATTGATGGCAGGAAAGAGAGTGGTTACTTACAGGAGCAAAGTCTGTAAGCAGATGACAAAAGATGAAATCCAGAATATGAGTCACCACAAAGCCCTATCACTTCCCCAATATAATGTCCAAGCTAATCACCAAGGCACCACACTTTCTACTATTAGAAATATTCCTTTGGGCTAAGGCGTCTTCAAAAGATCTGTATTAAAATGCATCATTTTATTTGGAAGGTTGGAAAGCCACATTTTTATATGGCGTTCTTTGAGTCCTTGTGCATTTCTTACTTTGACATTATGCCATAGTTTACATTGAGAGAAAAAAAAAGTTATATGGTACTCCATTTTCTGTTTTATTTTAAAGTGTTATTTAGAATATTGACCATTAAATCACTCCTAAAGTATCCTTTATGAAGAACCATAAAATTATCTTAAGTCTCAATATTAGGAAGAATGTTCCTCCTGTGCAACTAATTTGTTTTAATCTATGCATACTACTACTTGATTATGTTTTCTTTAGCCACTCAGAAGTTCAAAATAATTTTTTAACCCCATAGTTTATCATAAGAATTAGGGGAAACTGAAGGTCTTTCTGTCTGTCTCTCTCCATCTGTTTTAGGAAATTACCAAGCTGCTGCCTTTCCATAGGATTTTTTTGGATCGACTAGAAGAGAATGAAGCCATAGACCAGGACCTGCAGGCTTACATCCTGCACCGGATACACAGCAGCTCAGAAATCCAGAATAACATTTCACTTAATGGCAAAATGGACAATACTACATTTGGCAAACTCAGTTCTCATCTCAAGACCCTCAGTCAAGGGTCCTATTTATACCTGAAACTCACATTTGACCTCATAGAGAAAGGCTATCTAGTGTTAAAGAGCTCTAGCTACAAAGTAGTTCCTGTTTCGCTCTCGGAGGTTTATTTGCTCCAGTGCAATATGAAGTTCCCAACCCAGTCTTCCTTTGACCGGGTGATGCCTCTCCTGAATGTGGCAGTGGCCTCTCTCCACCCACTGACGGATGAACATATCTTCCAGGCCATCAATGCTGGTAGCATTGAAGGCACACTGGAATGGGAGGACTTTCAGCAGAGAATGGAGAACCTCTCTATGTTTCTGATCAAGCGCAGAGACATGACTCGTATGTTTGTTCATCCTTCTTTTCGAGAATGGCTTATCTGGAGAGAAGAAGGGGAGAAAACCAAGTTTCTCTGTGATCCCAGGTAAGCCATAGATCTGTAATAAGCAATTCTGAACCTATTTTGTTTTTACTGCAGGGAGCATGGGCATTGAAAGCAATGAGAAGTGTTCTCCATTGAACATTTCACATACAGGAAATAACTCTGTTTCTTCTCAAGACAAGGCTATAGTGAGATTAACTAATTTATTTTCTCACATTGTTATTTCCTTGAGATTCAGAATCTGCATAGATATGCAGAATGCTCCTGTACATTCCTGTATTTTTCCTAAATAATGTTCTGGGTTCTTACTGGTGATCCCAGGCTATAATTAATTTTGCCATTTAACAGACTTCTTCAGTGTTCTTCAGATATGAAGAAAGAATTGATATAGTATCCATCTCTTTGACTTAGAGCAGAATCACTTTAAAATTGCAGTTGCCCTTTTAAAAGCCATACCATTGTTAAAAGTCACCAATGACTAATCTCATTAAAGCCCAGCCAGTACTAAAATTTATACTGGAAAATTGAATCTTAAATCTCATAGCTGAAAAAGACTGGTGACCAACTTAAGAGATCGGTTGGTAGCCACTTTACCTTTAGATAAATAAGGTGCCATTATTCCCATCTATAATAATAAAAGCATAATATGCTAATTGACCGGACAGTCAAACAACCTTCCAGACGAAGCTGCAGCAGCAGGGGCCGAGGCAGAGGCTGTTGGGGGCGATGAGGCAGGCAGGCGAGTGGTTAGGGGCAATCAGGCAGGCAGGCAGAGGCACATAGGAGCGATCGGGCAGGCAGGCAGAGGGGTTAGGGGTAATCAGGCAATCAGGCAGGCGAGCGGTTAGGAGCCAGAGGTCCTGGATCCCCCGAGGGGTTCTGGATTGCGAGAGGGTGCAGGCCGGGCTGAGGGACACCGCCCCCCCGCCCCCCCCCCCCATGCACGAATTTATTAAAACTCTAGTTTTACTATAAAAGGCCTTAAAAATTCTGAATCACTTGTCCAACATCAAGTTAATAGGTGGGAGAAAGGAGGAGGGACCAGAAGAGGGGTGGCAAATACATGGTATGTACCACCACTCCCCTGTCTTTCAGCCATGGCAGACAGCACTGATTCACCCCAGCACTCTTTCCTGATGGACTTGACCCTGACTTAAAAATCTTCCTCAGCTCAACAAACCAGACTAAATATGAAACTGTTTCCCATTCTCTTGGGTAGAACTAGGTCTCTATCTTCCTAGGAGGGTGTTCTTTCTACTTCTCCACATTACCTTTTTTCAAAGAATTATTCCTTTAATTAAGTTGGTGTTATCAAAAGCAGGTCTACTCCTGACTTCCTGGAAACAAAAAAGACAACAACAACATAGGTGGCAAATGCAGAGTTTATTCTGGCTCAAAAAGATCGGCCAAAGTTGACTGAGGTTTTATTATTCTCTCGGCATGTTCGTCACCCGGCCTTATTAGAGACAACTGCTTGTGGGCATGCTGCTCAGCCCACTTCAGGCTGATTCATTAGAAAATTAGTTCCAGGCTCTGATGATGATATCAAGCCAGACAGCAGATTTCCTGGTATTTACTCTCAAAGGGAAACTTAAAGAAACAAACTAGTGGAAAGAACATGAACTTTTGAGTCAGATTACCTGCTTAGAAATCTCACCTCTTCTAGGAACTGTGACCTTTCGAAAGTTACAGGTTTCTGATACAGTTTTCTTATTTACGTAAAAGGGATAATAATTCCTAAAGTTATGGAGAATTAAGTGAGATGTAGTAAGTATAATGCCTAGAATAGTACATAGTACATACAGAGTGTTTAGGAAATGTCCTTTTTCCTTCCTTTTCTTTGCAGTAATGGATCCTTCAGGTCCACTTTAACTCAATCCTATGATTAATTGGATAGGTAGCAACAGTCTTCTACTATTAGCATTTTGGGGCACAAGATTTAAACAAACAAAAATTGTATAATATTCCCAAGAGGATTTTATTATAAACCCCACGAGTACTGCTGAGTACTGCTACTGAGGCTTAACACATAAGAGTTGGCAACCACATATTTAAGAAAAAGAGACCAATCTAGAATTGGTCTCTTTGACTTATAAACACTTTTTTTTAATTGTTTTATTGCTTAGAGTATTACAAAGGGTATTACATATGTGTCCTTCCCCTCCCCCCCCCCCCCCCCCCCCGCCCTTGACAATCCCCTGGCCTCCCCTTCCCCCCAGTGTCTTATGTCCATTTGTTATGCTTATATGCATGCATACAAGTCCTTCGGTTGATCTCTTACCCCCCTCCCTCCTGCCCCCCAACCCTCCCTGGCCTTCCAGTTTCCAGAGAAACTTTGCTAGTTGATCTGCTCTTTCATTCTGAAACATCTCAGAGGATTGAAAGCTGAGGTTCACAGTAGCCAGACTACCACAGAATTAGCAGTGTCCTTACAACAAATGAAACCTTCAAGGGCTCCCAAAGGAGAAAAGGTGGTATTTATGTGGCCATATCATGGTTTTACAGTCTTATCTTCTCAACATTGTTTATTAACTAGGAGCATTTCAGCAACAGGCTGATACACTGAGACAAGAAGAGCAAACACTTCTAATTTCAAATGCTGTGTATAGGCACACCTCGGAGATATTGCAGGCTCGGTTTCAGACCACCACAATAAAGCAAGTCATAATCTTTCTGTTGGTGAAGGGTCTTTCCTTTAATTTGTTAAAAAAAACAACAACAATGCAGCATCGGTGGAGCTCAATAACATGAAACACAATAAAACAAGGTGTACCTGTAGTCTGTTGCCTGGTGATTGAATAACACTCAGGGCTGCTGAGGGATCATCATATATCACTTAATGGCAGAGAATAAAATAGTAGGACCAAGAGTTATCATAAAAGCTTCCTTACATTTCATTTCAGTTGGAATTCAGTCTTCCACCCAGCACTGTCTGGCACCAGCTTTGTTACTAAAGTATTGATCTCAGAGTTTGAGGCCCTCTGGGTCAATGAGATGGAAATTCACTAAGAATTTAATGCTATTGGCAAAGCCCAAGGTGGCCTTTCAAAGAAACTGGCTGTAATTGCTTTCCATTTCAGGCAAGTCTGATTAGTAGGGCTCTCTCCAAACAGGGTTTGTCTTTGTGACCTTCTGCTTCTACGTCCTGTACATATTTCCGTCTCTGTTCTCTACCTTCTTTCCAGTTTCTCTCTATAGCATCTAATGTATCTCAGTAGATTAGGGGAGACCAACGTGATGCCTCTAAAATTACACTAGATAGGTCAGTGCCTAACATACATATCTCTGTGTAAGGAGAACTTTCAGAAGCAAGGGACCATCTCTGTCTCCTAGTCCATTTTCCTGGACTTTCAGCACTCACTTGTTCACCCTGAACTTGTTGACCTTATTAGGGCATTAGACACAGATAAGAATATTCTACTGAAGCCAAAAGTAGTTGATTTCATCAGAAATAGGCCACCCAGGGAGCTACTTCTGCTAAACTGAAGAGTCAGTAATCTGAGGCTGGTGCTGGAAAGAGGAAATAGCAGAGGCAGAAGTCAGTGTTGCAGTTGAGACAGTTTTCTTCATTTTAAGTATCAGACTTTCTATTGTTCCACACTCAGGGCAGAGAATTGATGCCCCAGAGAAATGACCTAATGTTGCATAGACATACAGCTGTCACAGAGAGATGAGTTAAAGATGTCTTTTCTTGGCTTGTTAACAAGATGTAGGGTATTTGTATGTGTGTGTTTATGTGTGTTTACCAAACTAAGTAAAGTAGCACTCAAAAATCTTTTATTCAAAACTTGTAAGATTTTGGATTTGCTTTCTACATAAAAGTATACTCTTTGAATCCCTTACAAACCTGAGACTTTGCCACATTATTCTGTTTTTTATTTCCCACTATTCATCACTGTCATACTCTATCATACTCTGAAATTAATCTGTCCTATAATTTTATTCCCTTAGGCACTGAGATATCAGATTAACTCACTAATCTAATAAACTAATCTCTGCTATTATGCTAATAAGAGGGAAGTAGAAAACCCATTTGAAGCAACTTATGCATTTTAAGTAAGGCTTTTGAGAGAAGTCACCAGCCTTTTATGCCTAACCTAGTAGTGAATTTGCTAGGGGAAATTTTAGGCTGATAAAGTAGACAGTTGGGACCTCCAGCCTAGTGGTGCTATCTAGTTTTTAAAGCAGTGGTTCTCAACCTTCCTAATGCTGCGACCCTTTAATACAGTTCCTCATGTTGCGGTGACCCCCAATTTCATTGTTACAAATTGAACATAATTAAAGCATAGTGATTAATCACAAAAGCAATATGTAATTATGTATGTGTTTTCCGATGGTCTTAGGCGACCCCTGTGAAAGGGTCTCGACCCACAGGTTTTAAAATTTAAAGCCTTGTGGTGCTGCTTAATATTTCTCCATAGCTTTAGGCTATCCCTGAATGAATCCCCACTCTATTTTTCTGTTTCCTTTTCTCACTATCTCTATTTTCATAGTATCTGGGCTCACCTTCCCTAGGAACAGCTTGCAGATCAACATATATGTATAAATGGGAATATATCTGTAAGATTTTAATACAGAGATTAGAAGACTCAGCTGCCTTATTTTCTTTTTAATTCTCAGTTGCCTTATTTTTAACTGTTTGAATAAAACGCATAAAGCTTGTTGTGAACATTTTTTAATGAGTACTGAGCTGCTATAACCTGAGATTGTGATTTGGAAGCCTAATTTCGGGGTGTCCTGATTTCCTCAAACTAAGAGAAACAACTTTTATGGTGAGTGAGAAAAGGAAAAGGCTACACAAATCCTGTTTATACCTATGAGGATAGTTGAGTACTTACTTGATTCTTTGTGAACAGAGTTGATATAATAAGTGGTCTATTGAGATTTTTTTCCAATTATTTGGGCCCTGTTAGTCAGTGAATTATACAGTGGAGACCTGGTGCTCCAGATGCATGCCATAAAGCAGAGTGTCAGAGAAGAAGAAGCTTATCTAAGGAAAAAAGAGGGCAGTCTTCCTATAAAAGAAAATTCACTGTGCCAGG